TGTTGGGTTTAATTGCTGTGGGGCTGTTGTTGATTTTATTTCGATGTTGTTTTTGATGTTGTTGTTGATGTTATTTTGATGTTGTTGTTGATGTTGTTGATGTTGTTGATGTTGTTGATGTTGTTGATGTTGTTGATGTTGTTGATGTTGTTGATGTTGTTGATGTTGTTGATGTTGTTGATGTTGATGTTGTTGATGTTGTTGATGTTGTTGATGTTGTTGATGTTGTTGATGTTGTTGATGTTGTTGATGTTGTTGATGTTGTTGATGTTGTTGATGTTGTTGATGTTGTTGATGTTGTTGATGTTGTTAATGTTGTTGATGTTGATGTTGTTGATGTTGTTGATGTTGTTGATGTTGATGTTGATGTTGATGTTGTTGATGTTGATGTTGATGTTGTTGATGTTGTTGATGTTGATGTTGATGTTGTTGATGTTGATGTTGATGTTGATAGTGTTGATGCTGATATTGTTGATGTTATTTTGATGTTGTTGTTGATGTTATATTGATGTTATTTTGATGTTGTTGTTGATGTTATATTGATGTTATTTTGATGTTGTTGTTGATGTTATATTGATGTTATTTTGATGTTTTGTTTCTATTTTTGTGTTTTATTGTTTTTTGGTGTTGTTGATATCATTACCAATATTAGTGTTGTTGGTGTTAACATGACTAACATCACGATTATTTTAATCATGCAAATCAACGTAAGCCTAAGCAAAGTTATAATAATTTTTATCAGAGCGCCGTTACAGGTGATTTTCTTATTGTTCTTGTCACCAGCATCAAATAATAAATGAGTTTGTTGTGTGTGTGTGCTACCAACTCTCACCTCTTCTTACTTTCTACTACGCCTAAGACACACATTTTTTTCCCAGCGTCCGTGCTCAGTCTCCATTCACCAACTGTCATTCCTTGCCCTTTATTACCAAGAAATAATATAAAAACATGTGCTAAACAAACAAAAAATAAACATTTGTTCGTTATTTTACTTGTCCATCGTCTTCTAATATTGTCATTATCTTTATTATCTTTATTACTGTTATTGTTGCTTTTGCAGATGCTTGTGTTTCATCCTTTCGCACGTTACGCTTGGAATCACAGTTGATATGACTGCGGAGTCATATTGTTGTTGTTGTTTTTAGTGTTGTTATTATTATTATTATCGTTATTTTTAGTAGCATTGGTATTATCATTGTTAATATTATTATTTCTATAATCATTTTCCTTATCTATTAATATAGTTATTATCATTATTGCCATTGTCCCAACCGCCACGGGTTTATGTTCTGTCCCCTGCAGCTTTTTTTTGTGAATTTTGTTACATACAGATGGCTCCACCTGTGTTCAGCCGGCAAGGAATCTATCAGTAGGCCCTAGTGACCGATCCTGATTTCCCCATTCCTTCAATTGCGAGAAAATGTGTTTTTTTTCTTTTTAATGCAATTGATATTGATACTGCTATTATTGTTATTGGTGTTATGATTATTAAATTACTAAGTTGCAAGAGACCCTTTCCAAAAGTCAAGGAAAAGGATAAACAGGTGTGATAGGACTAACATTATAGTTATCACCATTATCATTACTAATGTAATTATTGTCATCATTGTCTTTTTTCCTTGTTGTTGCTATTATTAATAGTATTATTATTATCATTATTAATACCATTATTATCATTGATAATAGTATTATTATCAGTATCATAATTAACATATTAGTTATCATATCATTATCAGTTGCAGTCATCATCTTTTATTTCATGTTTCTCCTCTTTTCCCATTTTCTCTTATTTATTCAATTTTCTCTTTCTTCCTTTTCGCCTTCCTTCTTCACTGTCCTCCTTCCCCTTCGTTCACACTTTAATTTTTTCCTTCTCTCTCTTTATCTTTTCTCCTCCCCATTTTTCTCCTCATTATTCTCCTATTTCCCTTTTTTATGAGGCCCAGGGGGAGGGGTGGGGTTTACCAGCTGGTCTGCCTCGCTCAGGTCATCGTCGAACCGGTCCACTTGTCTTACCTGTGACCTGCATTAGCTGTCCTACTTCAGGTCGTGAGGGAACGGGGACTTAGACACGGATAGATAGATAAAATGGCAATTGGGAGATGAAAAGGGAGGGACTGAAAGAGGTAGTGATGAGTAGGTAATAATAAGTATAAGGGGGGATGGAAGAAGGAGGAAGAGAGAGATAGAAAGGGAAAGCGAAAAAGGGGAAGGGGTAGGCCGAGTTTGGTTTCAAAGAGAGAGATGGAGAGCGAGAGAGAGAGAGGTGAAGAGAGTGAGAGAGGTGGAGAGAGAAAGAATGAGTGAGGGAGACAGAGAGTGAGAGAAAGACTGATGGATAGCAAGAGAGAGAGGAGGGGCGAGAGCGAGAGTGATAGAGAGAGAGACAGAAGGACAAACGATAGTGAAAACAACAATAATGATGTAACTGACGACCCTGTTACATTCTGGCTTGATCTCCAAGATTGCTTCCAAGAATTTGCATTATCACAAAGGTTTATTGACGGCGCTGATTATCTGTGGAAATTACTTTAATGTTTGACAGCTACCTTAAATAGAATTGTTTTCTAGAAGAGACAAGTGTTTTTTCCTTTAACTCCGTATGGATGGCGAATAGCAATTACTGTGATTAGACAACATCAGTCACAAATGATGGCGCTGTTTATCTCATACATTTATAATCTATTGATATATCTTGTTTGCATGTATATATGTACACACACACTCGCGCGCGCGTGTGTATGTATATATGCGTATATTTGTATATATGTATATATATATATATATATATATATATATATATATATATATATATATAATATATATATATATATATATATATATATATACATATACATATATATATATATGTGTGTGTGTGTGTGTGTGTGTGTGTGTGTGTGTGTGTGTGTGTATGTATATATACATGTATAGATAGAAAGGTAGGTATAGATATAGATTGACTGATAAACATATAGACAGATAAATAGAAAGTTAGATAGATATGAATATATAACTTTATATATATACATATGTGTAAATATATATGTATGTATATATACATACACACGTGTATGCGTGTGCTTTATAAAAAGAAAAGATGAAAGCAGTTAAAGTTAAAGTTAAAGATCAAGCAATTTCCTTCAGTTAACGACACTGTTCCCTGTTAGAGTGACGTCACCGAATTTCACGAGCGGCCGACCGTCGTGAAATGTTAGGGGGCGAGCGACCTCCTCGGCGCCCGCCTCTCTGTTCTGTGCCCCCCCCCCCCCCACCCCCTTTTTCTATCTTTGTACTCTTCACTCGGACCATTTTTTATTGGCTTGGAAACTTTGTCTTGGTTGGTGAATTATATATTTTTTTGATCTCTGTGTAAATTCTGCTTGAGAAATCTTAAGGACTCTATTCAGGTTTTTAGACATTATGCTGTGTCATTATGCTCCCTCGGTCATTCTCCAGTGCACTTTGATCATGAAATGTCTAAATGCTTGGATGTGATTGTGCTTTGGTATATATCGAAAAATGTATGTATGCATCTATGCACGTGTATATGTGTATGTATGCGCGTGTATATATGCATTTATGCAGACGTGAATGTATGCATGTACCTAAGTATGTGTGTTTGTTTGTTTCAAAACATATAATAAAAACGTGGGTGCACAAGACTTAATTACCGCCTGATTTCGCACGATGAATTTAAATATCCATTTAAATAAGCATTGACTTACTCGATCGGCTTTTTATATACATTTAATCTTTTTTACTTACATTTTTACTAGAATTATTTATTTATCACTCAAGAAATTTGATACTTAGATCTTCTGAAATGATTAAAACTAAAACCCATTCACCAAGCAGAGAAGCCGTGTCAACTTCGCAAATCTCGCAAAAAGTCCCTATTAATCACTGTAATTAATCCGAGGCGAGGCCGATGTACGTACCTTGTTGAGTAATCGTATAGCATGTATGTCCGGTTGTGAGGAGCCCGACGGCCATGGACTGGAGACAGGTTTACTCCCGCGGACTGGTTTCTGTCGTTATAGGTTAGAACCGATAAAAGTTCCTTGGGATATTTGCATACCGTTCGGCAGTCGCAGGATCGATTTCCGCTGACAAAGTGTGTGTGTATGTATGTGTGTACGTGACTGTATCATTGTATCTACAGGCTTGTGTATATTTCCTCGTATTACAATAAAAATGTCATTACCTAATCACACTAAGCATCTAATTACCTCAAGAACAATGCACGCCCGCCCCCAAGCACAAGCATCGATCACAAGCGGCCCCTTCCCCTGGCCCGAGTGATGGCAACTCCGCTGCCGTACTTTCGCTTTCGAAGAGTCTGAGGGAAGTGACCTCGCTCGTGCCTTTCTGGCGAGGGACCTTTTGTCACATACAGGAGCAGCTTGGCGGTGGTCAGGGCCAAGTAGTCCGGCCGTATGAGCGGTCCGTTTGTGGGTTTTTTCTTTTCTTTCTCTTTTTTTATTTTCTGTATATTAGTCTTTTTTCAAATTTCATTTTTCGTCAGTCTATGTGTGTTGTAAAACAATAAGAACAGTCTGTTTTGTGTTGAAAGCTGGTGTCAATCAATCACCAAAAAATAATATAAATGTACCAATAGATACATAAATAAATATGTAAATAATCCGATAAATAAATATGTAAATAATCCGATAAATAAATATGTAAATAATCCGATAAATAAATAAGTAAATAATCAGATAAATAAATAAATAAGTAAATAATCAGATAAAAAAAAAGTAAATAATCAGATAAATAAATAAGTAAATAATCAGATAAATAAATAAATGAATATGTAAATAATCAGATAAATAAATAAATAAATATATATGCAAATAATCAGATAAGTAAATAAATAAATATGGTAAATAATCAGATAGATAGATAAATAAATAAATAAATAAATATGGTAAATAATCAGATAAATAGATAAATAAATAAATAAAAAAGTAAGCACATATAAAAAACAAATAAATCAG